CCTCAGCCTCCGCCTGCCTCAGCCTCAGCCTGCCTCAGCCTCAGCCTCAGCCTGCTTCATCCTCAGCATCAGTCTGCCTTCAGCTTCGGCCTCAGCCTCAGACTGCCTCAACCTCAGCCTGCATCAGCCTCAGCCTCAGCCTCAGCCTGCCTCAGCATCAGCCTGCCTCAGCTTCAGCCTCAGCCTCAGCCTGCCTCTGCCTCAGCCTCAGCCTGCTTCAGCCTCAGCCTCAGTCTGCCGTCAGCCTCGGCCTCAGCCTCAGCCTGCCTCAGCCTCAGCCTGCATCAGCCTCAGCCTCAGCACGAAGCAACCCAGCTAGAAGGACAAAGCGCTGAATGTACACCGATGTGTTCGACGACTGCGTATGTAATGATGTGACGATATACAGACTGAGCCCTTCGTGAATGTCTACATGTTTTTCTGACGCCTACAAACGGCGCTGACGTGTGTGTGAAAAGTGTCCGCGCAGCAAAAGCCGGCGAAGCGTGCAGACAGCCAGCTGCAAAAGGTTGCGAGCGGCTCTTGGAAGACGTTTACGGAACGGAGCTACGGTGTCTGAAAACAATGGCATCGAAGCGAAGAGCCTCGGAGCCCTGCAGCCTGAGAAACACCGCAGGAACTCGCATACTGAAAAGGAATGCATTGCAAACCGCACGTTGCGAACCCTGCAGGCTGAGAAGCACCGCAGGATGTCGCATGCTGAAAAGCACTTGTACTGCAGAGCGCAGGCTGCGAAACCTGCAGGCTGAGAAGCACCGCAGGAACTCGCATGCTTTCGAACACTACTGCTCGAGACCGCAGCTGGAGAGCGGCAGACCGCAGGCTGAGAAGCACCGCGGGCAGAGAGACTTGCAAAACTCAGATGTCCTGATCGTCTTGGAGGAAGTCACGCCAGTCCGGCGGCTGCCAAGAATCGATGATGCGCCTGGAGCCACCGCCCGTGCTGCCGCCGATGTCCAGGTAGTCGCCATCGCCCCTGAACAGACGGCCGTGCCCGCACGCCAGAATCGCTTGGTTGCGGATTTGAAGCAGCGCTCCGCTCTCAAACATCTGCAACACGTCCTGCTGCCTGCGCGTGAAGTTCGGCTTTGCCTGGCCAGCCTGGGCAGACAGATATAGGGAAAGCCGCTCCCCCTCGTTGTAGCGCGCGATGGCCTCGGCCTTCTGGTGGTGCAGCCGGCGCCGCTGTTGCCGCAGAGCTTCCTCGGGAACTGCTGCATCACGGCCCTCACTGTGATCAGCTTGCAACGCTTGCGTTAACCAATCAACGTCGAAGCGCCCTGAGAAGGCCAGCACCTCCCAGATCTGTTTAGTACCGGCCACACGTTGCAAATGGCGATGCCACCGCTTACGCTTCTGGTCTTTCACAAACTTGGCGACGCTACCCAGACCTGCACCCTTGGCCTGGCCACCTTTTCCCGCAGGCTGAGAAGCACCGTGAGAACCTTTCTTACCGCCTGGCCCTTTGTTCGGACCCTGCGGAACCGCATGGCCCCCTTGTGGCGCAGACTTGCCTTTCGCTTTTCCCTTTTCGATATCCCGTTCCTGAAGCGCACGCTGCTGCCGCGACTGCTCGTACTGGTCGCGAGCTACTCTGACCAATTCCTGGCGCTCAGGCTCCGTGAGAACGTAGCGCATGTCGTCGATGTTCTTGCTCCGCAGAAAGTCATGTCGAAGCTTAAGGACAGAGAGAATGGCTCGGCCAGTCTCCTCCTGAGACGCAAAGGCCGTGTCATATTCCGAGCCAGGCTGAGGAGCGCCAGCTGGATCAGTGTCCGCTGGCTCCGTGGACTTCCTCTTTTTGAAAAGCAAGAGACTGAGATGATGGAGGACTTTCGGATCGTACTCCTCGTCGTACCTGTCGTCCCAAAGCTTCCTCAGCTCCCTGTGCAAGTCGTCCGCGCGATTCTGAACGACATCCTCGACGTAGTCGGGATCACCCGGTGAAGTCGGTGAAAGCGGAGGAGCAGAACTCGGCGACCGATCCCAATGCACAGAAGACTCGCGGTCCGCCTGTACGCTGACGTCGGCGTCGGAGACGTTTTCGACGACAATTTTCCGCCTCTTGCTCTCCCCAGGCTGAATAGCACCAGGGAGAGTGAGCACAACCGCCACCGCATCGTGTGCGTCGTTGCGCATGCCACGATCCGTAAAAGACGCGCCAACGGCAATGGAGCAGAAACGGGCGACTGCTCCGCAGACCGCGACGTGGTCGCCTTTGAGGTCGGCCGGAGTGGCATGGACCTCCCATACCTTCTCGTCGTTCTGCTCGCGCTGGTAAGCCTCCCGCGCCTCCTGGAAAGTGAGGTTGTCGTCGCCGACTACAAGCACAACGACTGCCTCGTTTAGATTCTCAAGAATCTTGGCCAGGCCGTCCAGGTGCAAGCGGAGATGGCGAACTGTCCGCTTTCGAGTCTGGATGCTCGGCGGTTTCTTGCCGCACACGATGTGCATGTTGGCGATCACCACGTGGAACTTGTCATGGCCTGGTTTGTTCACCTCAAAATGTGAAATAACAGCATCAATATCTCGGCCGCTAGGAGGCCTGTAAACTTTGCTGTCTTCGCACAGAGTCAGTTCCGCAGGCTGAGAAGCACCGCGGAACCCCCAGAGAGTCAAGTAGTTGTCGACCTCCAAGAAGCGAATGCCATCACCGAAAGGCTTACTGAGGATGTCTGTCACGTTGATCCCTGCTCGGCGAAAGCCTTCACGGAACGCACCGACCTCGCAGCCACAGACCATATCAGCATCAGCGGTCTCCACTATCTTGGCGCACAACCTTCCGAAGTTAGCGCAGTGAGTGGCCGCCTGCTTACCAGTCATCATGCCCTGCTCGAACCCGAAATTGAACGAGGCGACCGTGAAAGACGCAGGCTGCACAGCGCCAGAACCAGGCGTCTGTCCACCTTCCTCCGCAGGCTGAGAAGCACCGCGAGGCGGCGCAGGCTGAGAAGCACCGCGAGGCGGCGACACTTCGGACGAGCCTCGCGGAGCAGAGGCTGCGGATGAACGTTGGACATGGGGGTACGGCCAGGGGAACGCCATTGCAATCAAAACGGCCAGGGGAACGCCAATTGCAATCAAAACTCAGTGGACTGCAGTGAATGAATGTAGTGGCCAATTGAATGCAGAGGACTGCAGTGTCACTAGCAAGTCCTGAACCAAACACAGCTGTGGCGGAAGGAATATGAAGCGTCTGGCTATTCAAAATGTTGCCCGGCAATGTCCTCCTCCTCCTCCTCCTCCTCCTCCTCGTCCTCCTCCTCCTCCTCCTCCTCCTCCTCCTCCTCCTCCTCCTCCTCCTCCTGGTAGTCCTCCCCCTCCCCTCCTCCTCCTCCTCCTCCTCCTCTTCCTGGTCGTCCTCGTTCTCGTCCTCCTCTCCCTCCTCCTCCTCCTCTCCTCCTCCTCCTCCTCCTCCTCCTCCTCCTCCTCCTCCTCCTCCTCCTCCTCCTCCTCCTCCTCCTCTTCCTCCTCCTCCCTCCTCCCCTCCTCCTCCTCCTCCTCCTCCTCCTCCTCCTCTTCCTGGTCGTCCTCCTCCTCCTGGTCGTCCTCCTCCTCCTGCTCGTCCTCCTCCTCCTCCTGCTCGTCCTTCTTCTCCTGCTCCTCCTGCTCCTCGTCCTGCTCCTGCTCGTCCTCGTCCTCCTGGTCTTGCTCGTCCTCCTCCTCGTCGTGCTCTTGCCCCTGCTGAAAATGTGGCCCAGGAATGGGAGTTCTGGGAAGTCGAAGAGCACGAAGTTGCCTACAGTTGGCTACGGGCATTCAAAATGTGGCCCGGGAATGGAGTTCTGGGAACTCGAAGAGCACGAAGTGGCCTACAGTTGGCTCCGGGCATTCAAAATGTGGCCCGGGAATGGAGTTCTGGGAACTCGAAGAGCACGAAGTGGCCTACAGTTGGCTCCGGGCATTCAAAATGTGGCCCGGGAATGGAGTTCTGGGAAATCGAAGAGCACGAAGTGGCCTACAGTTGGCTCCGGGCATCCAAAATGTGGCCCGGGAATGGCGTTCTGGGAACTCGAAGAGCACGAAGTGTGTGACTGTTGCATCCGGCCCCCCAGAATGTGGCCCGGGAATGGCGTTCTGGGATGTCGAAGAGCACTTTGTGTGTGACTGTTGCATCCGGCCCCCCAGAATGTGGCCTGGGAATGGAGTTCTGGGAAGGCGAAGAGCACGAAGTGTGTGACTGTTGGTGAAAAACGAGCCCGGCTCATGCCGCCCGGAAACGCCCCAACACCTGCCCGGACCCCCCTGTGGAGTGATCTGTGAGCTCTTTTGAGACCACTAGAAACCTATCAGTCTTCGCTGTTAGGTAAAAATGCTCCTAGAGCGTCCAGCCGATGTGTTAAAGCACGAAGGTCTCAGCCAGGAATGTTCTGAGAGCGTCTCGTGCAGATCATAAAAAGGTTGTCTGAACACTCCTTGGTGGGCCTGTGGGCAGGCCAAGGCGCCTTGCCTCTGCTAGAGTACACCTTAGGCGATGCTTAAGAAAACTTAAGTTTTCGGCCAGAGTCTCGATTATTCTTAACGTTTCAATTCAAATTTTATTCAAATTCTGAGACTATGAATTTCTTAACCCATGATTTCTTAAGCATTTCGCAGGGTGTACGGTACGAGCGGGTCGGAAGAGGTGGGCAGAACCATGCAGCAGGACGGCGCTGGACGTGGATTCGGGCTCCCGCCCATCCCCAGGAGGAGGAGGGAAGAAGGAGGCCGGCCGATCCTGGAAGCAGGCAGGCGCCAAGGGCAGATTGGGGTCTGCCGCCAACAGGAACGCTAGGTGGACGAAGGACACCACTGCGGCACTCCACAGTCGACGTACTCTAAATCTCACCCATCTGCAAGTTCAGGCGAACTGCTCCTCCACGTCTTTGCAAATCCTCGAGCATGCGCCTCACATGCGCCCACGTTGTTTAGGAGTACAGCGACCGGCGTGCATGTACGGACCTCGTCGCGCGGCGGACCCCCCCCCCCTTGCCCCTGCCCGGCATGTGCCCCCCGCCCGCCGAGGTGGCGCAGCCGACGAGATTCGCGGCGGCCGCCCGGGAGCTCACGACCTCGGCGATCACCAGCGAGGCCGCGGCGATGAAGGGGATGAGGTACCTCGCCGCGGCGGGCGAGGGGGGGGGGGAAAGTGAGAAGAGGGAGGCCTTCTCAGAGGCGGCGTGGCTTCTCGAAGCCCGTGCGCCCCCGGAAAAGCGTCCTGCGTCTTCCGAGAGAGCTTCAAAACTTGTCAGAAGGCTGGGGGACTTGCGAGCCTTCTGAGAAGGCCTGCCCCTTCTCGCTTTCCCCCTCGCTCGCCGCCGAACCTCGGGGGGGAAACCAAGTAGCACCGCCACCACCTGCTGCACACTGCACTAAATAGGTCTCCTCACCGTTGCTCCCGCTATCGTGTCTCTTGTCATTGTGATACCTGCAGATCCTGATCACCTTCATCCCCCCCCTCCCCAGCCTGGTGAGCGTAGACTCTGCGCCCTCGTGGGCCTGTCTTTCCTGTTCCTTACTTCTGGCGCCCATGTACCTTCTCTGCTACGCTGACCAAATTTGATGTGTCGCACATCGCGCCTAAGCCGGGTCATGTTCTCTGCATTGCCGCTCTTTCACAAGCGCTACGATTGTGCTCTCTGCATTGCCGCTCTCTGCATTGCTCTCATTGTGCGAGGCGAGGCTTTGTCCGTACCCGTCATTCGGAAGAAGTGGGTAGAAACATGAGGTAGGAGGGCGTTGAAGGCAGATTGGGCTTCCACACGTCACTTGACAAGGAAGGGACCAATGGGCATCTTCGGATCCTGAAGTAGAGAGGCGCCTGAAGTATATAAGACCTGGAAAACCCAGATACAAGCTTTCAACACACGACGGGTAACGACCGCCTGTGCGAGGCTGGGATCGGGGAACAAAACAGAACAATAAAAAACTGCGATCGGAAACGGCAACAAAAACGGCTCCAGGATCGGAACCGAAGCAGGAGCCGGCGAGACAACGGCGAGGGAGCCGGCAAAACGGCGGCGTCGGAACAGGCTACGAAAACGGCAGAACGGAACCGGTAGCGAAGAGGGCCCTGCAGGGCCCACAAGGCCTGGAGGGCCCTAAGCTCACCGAGGAAGATACGAGACAGGAGCGTGTCAGCCCTCCGTCTCTCGCTGTCCTCTAGCTTTTTTTACTTGTTTTTTTGGGGGGGCAGAGGCGACGAGGCGGCTCTCTGCGCGCCCAAGAGGCCGAACTCGTATAATCAGCGCAAACAAAAAACGTTGTTAGATGTTGTGCCCGCCATGCGCGCCAGCATCCGGCATCGGGCACGGCACGCCGACAATGGACAAATCGCCGAATCCGCGTACAAAACTGTTGGTCAATATTGTAAACGCCATCGCAAGCCCAAACTTGAAACAGAACAGCCCTCCATGTGTGCAGGTGCAACGTACGTTCAAACCCTTGGCCTTTGGATTGCAAAACGTCTGAAACGGTAGCCCCCGCTTGGAAAACGAATCGTCCTCTAGGCTTGCCACCGCTGCAGTTCTCGAAGACGAATGTGCTCAGAGCTGGGGCGAGAGCCCCTTTTTGAGCAGAATAGTCCTCCATCCCTGCACCTGTTGCAAACGTTGGGCGAATGTGCGCAGCGCTAAAGCAACAGCAACATGGTTGAGAAACGCCCCGCCCTCCATCCTCGTAGCTATCAGAATAAGAAACAAATTGCGCCGAAAAGCGGGGAGAGCCCAATTTGCGCCCCTTCCACATTTGCTCCCGTTGCAAGCGTTGAATTAGCCTGACGAAGGACCCAACCATATGCAGTTGTGAGTAATGCTGGTGTGAGTACCGTCTTCGGTGGATCTCCCTATGGGGCCACGAACCGTTTGAGGGGTGTGCCGAAATGGGTGTAGGGGCGGCATGCGAACGTTGCCACTGGGGCCTTCGGTGGAGCTCCTTATGGGGCCACGAAACGTGTGAGGGGTGTGCCGAAGTTGGTGTGGGGGCGGCATGCGAACGCAGCCACTGGGGCCTTCGGTGTAGCTCCCTGTGGGGCCACGAAACGTGTGAGGGGTGTGCCGAAATTGGTGCGGGGGCGGCATGCGGACCCTGCCACTGGGGCCTTCGGTGAAGCTCCCTATGGTGCCACGAAACGTGTGAAGGGTGTGTCGAAATGGGTGGTGGGGAGGCATGCGGACCCTGCCACTGGGGCCTTCGGTGCAGCTCCCTATGGGGCCACGAAACGTGTGAGGGGTGTGCCGAAATAGGTGGTGGGGAGGCATACGAACCAGGCCACTGGGGCCTTTGGTGGAGCCCCCATATGGGGCCACGAAACGTGTGAGGGGTGTGCCGAAATGGGTGGTGGGGAGGCATGCGGACCCTGCCACTGGGGCCTTCCGTGGAGCTCCCTATGGGGCCACGAAGCGTGTGAGGGGTGTGCCGAAATGGGTGGTGGGGAGGCATGCGGACCCTGCCACTGGGGCCTTCGGTGGAGCTCCCTATGGGGCCACGAAACGTGTGAGGGGTGTGCCGAAATAGGTGGTGGGGAGGCATGCGAACCAGCCACTGGGGCCTTCGGTGGAGCTCCCTATGGGGCCACGAAACGTGTGAGGGGTGTGCCGAAATGGGTGGTGGGGAGGCATGCGAACCCAGCCACTGGGGCCTTCGGTGGAGCTCCCTATGGGGCCACGAAACGTGTGAGGGGTGTGCCGAAATGGGTGGTGGGGAGGCATGCGGACCCTGCCACTGGGGCCTTCGGTGGAGCTCCCTATGGGGCCACGAAACGTGTGAGGGGTGTGCCGAAATGGGTGGTGGGGAGGCATGCGGACCCTGCCACTGGGGCCTTCGGTGGAGCTCCCTATGGGGCCACGAAACGTGTGAGGGGTGTGTGTGCCGAATGGGGGTGGAATGGGGCCACGAAACGTGTGAGGGGTGTGCCGAAATGGGTGGTGGGGAGGCATGGACCCTGCCACTGGGGCCTTCGGTGGAGCTCCCTATGGGGCCACGAAACGTGTGAGGGGTGTGCCGAAATGGGTGGTGGGGAGGCATGCGGACCCTGCCACTGGGGCCTTCGGTGGAGCTCCCTATGGGGCCACGAAACGTGTGAGGGGTGTGCCGAAATGGGTGGTGGGGAGGCATGCGGACCCTGCCACTGGGGCCTTCGGTGGAGCTCCCTATGGGGCCACGAAACGTGTGAGGGGTGTGCCGAAATGGGTGGTGGGGAGGCATGCGGACCCTGCCACTGGGGCCTTCGGTGGAGCTCCCTATGGGGCCACGAAACGTGTGAGGGGTGTGCCGAAATCGGTGGTGATGATGATGATGATGATGATGATGATGATGATGATGATGATGATGATGATGATGATGATGATGATGATGATGATGATGATGATGATGATGATGATGATGATGATGGGAAGAGGGAGGAGGGCGAGGAGGAGGAGGAGGGGAACGCGGGGCACCGTCTCTTCAAAACGAGGACCCAACACCACAGGATGGTTGGGAAAAAAAGGAGTGTGAGCGGCGAGGCGGCGATAGACCAAGCTTGAAAACCGCCCCACCACCAATCCCTGAAACTTCTTGGACAGTTCAAGCTTCAAGGTGAGCGTGGGCGAGGGCGCCCCAGGCGCGACGTCCGGCCCGCCCTGAGCACACGTCTGGTGCTGCGACACGAGAGAAGCCAATCGCAGAGCGAAGGGGCCAGGCCAAGCGGTCTTGCAGCTCCAGGGTGGGTGCGCGGGTGTCACGGCATTCCGCCGTGTGACTTGTCGTTGTCGTTGTGCCTGCCGTCGCCCCGCGAACCACGTGCGCATCGCCCCCCCCGCGGCCCACCAGCGCCGCGACCCGACGGCGCCTCCCCACTCTTACATCCGCAGCTGCGACCTCGCCATCGCTCGGACGTCCATTCCCTGTGTTGTTTTTCGGTTTCGTGCGTGGTTCTTTCGCCAAATGACCAAGGATGCTCCTCGATGGTCCTCGCCGAGGAAAAACCGCACACGTCCGAGCGATGCCAAGCGACAGACAGGGCATCAGAAGGAAGAGGGGCTCGGGAGGCGTGGGCTCGCCTGTACTGCGTCTTCAGAAAGGCGTCGGCGCCGCGGGCGATGTGCCCGCTGATCTGCGTCATCGTCTCGCGCGAGCGGGGGGCGGGACGGGGGGGGGCGGGCGAAATCCACGGACGCTGCTCCAAGAGTCCGCGCCTGCCCCACCTCGCACTGCTCGCGGGCGGTGGGCGCGTGTGCGGGGAGGGAAGGCCGAGAGGCGGGAGGAAGGGGGGGAGAGGGAGGGGAGGAGGAGGAGAAAGGAAGGGCGGGAGGGCGGCGATAGGACGATCGAAAGAGAGACAGAACATGGCTAACCAAAGACCGGACAAGGAGGTACGTGCCGTTCGGTGTGGAAACGGACGCATCCAGCTCGAGCCCTGTCACCGAGATGGGTCAAGGGAGGAACTCGAATTCTAGGAACCCCCCTCTCTCCTACGCACTCCTTTCCTTAACTCCTGAACGCGTCTCATTATTTTCGGCGACGACGGCCGTTATAAGGGGGGGGGCGGGGGGGGGTATAACGTAACGCACCCCCCCGCCATGTGGCTCCGCTTGTCCGAGATAACGGCTGTCATTGGCCCCGCCCCCCGCCCCCCAGATGACGTCACGTTCCGCGCCAGCGGCGTCCAATAATGCCTGGTGGTGACAGAGGCCAACCAAGAACAGCATGTGGGTGGCGACCTGCCCTATGGCGCCTGTGTGCACCACAATGCTCGCGTGCACCACGACGCGCGTGTACACTACAACACCTGCGTGCACCGCAAGACCGTGTGCAGCGCAGTACCTGTGTACACAACAATGCTCGCGTGCACCACATCGCCTGTGTACACCACGCCGAATTTGTACACCGCAGCAACCATGTGCAACACAGCGCCTGTGCACACCAATGCTTACGTGCACCGCAGCGCTTGTGCACACCACGGCGCCTGCCTACACTACACCATCCGCGTGCCACGCATCGCTTGTGTACACCACAACGCCTGCGTACACCGCAACAAAACGTGTGCAACGCAGCGCCCGTGTACACCACAGTGCTGGCGTGCACCACAGCGCCAGTGTACACCACAGCGAATAGATACACCGCAACAACCATGTGCAACACAGCACACCGCCTGTGCACACCACGGCGCGCGCCTACACCACACCATCCGCGTGCAACGCAGCGCTGGTACACCACAGCGCCTGCGTGCACAGGACAAATAAAAGGAGCATGTAGGTGAGGATTTGCTGCGGACAGCTAAACACCATGCCAAGGAAGTGCTGATAACAGAATGCGACGTTTTCCCTCCTACCGTCTTCTCCACCTCCACCTTCTCCTCGTCGTCCTTTTTCCTCCTCCTCCCTCACCCTTCCCCCTGTCGTGTGGGCCGGCGCTGCAACGCACGGTCGCATCTCAGCGTGCACCGTAGACTGGTCGATTGAATCGGTCCATTTGATTCTCGGACGGCCGGTTAAGCTGGAGTTTCCTGGACGCACATGGGGGGAGTTGGAATGATGCGGGAAGATCCGGGAGGACTGGTCGATTCCAGCGGCGTTCCTTTTTCCCCATAGAAGTCATAGAAGGGGTCCATTCCAATATTTGTATAAAACATGTGGTGTCAGTGGAATCCACAAACGCTCCGTTTTGTCATATAAATGCCACCCGAACTCTATATGCCACACTGGTGCTCTGTTGCACACGGGCGCCGTGGTGCACACGGGCGCCGTGGTGCACACAGGCGCCGTAGTGCACGCAAGCGTTGTGGCTGCTGTTGGTTGGCGCACAGCAGATGTGGTGTACGCAAACGATGCGGTGTACACGACCGCTGTGGCGCCCGCAGGCACTGTGGCACACACTGGCGCTGTGTTGCACGCGGCTGCTATGGTGCACATAGGCGGTGTGGTGTACACCAGCGCTGGGTGCACGCAGGCACTTTGGTGTACACAGGCACTGTGGTGCAAATCGCCACCTGCATGCTGCTGCTACCCGTCTTCGGTCATTCCTAAGCATTCCCAGACGCCGCTGGCGCGAAACATGACGTCATCGGCCCCCCCCCTCCCGCCCATATGACGGCCTCCACCCGCGTCCGCGCGCACGACGACGATGAGCGACGAGCAACGAGCGATGAGTGATCACGACGCCGACGACGACGACGAAGGCGACGACAACGAAGTCTGCAGACCAGACCCCTATGCGGATTCCTATGCGGACGCCTATGCGGATCCCGATGCGCACGGCGGCAATGGCCGGGATGCACTGGGGGGGGGGGGGCGTTACGTTATTAGATGGGGGCGGCCGGGTGCTATAACGCCCGCTATGCCACAAACAATACAAAAAAAGCACGCTCCTACACCGTAAGTGGCTCCGGTTTCGTATCCCGCGCGAAACTTCCACCTTTGAGCTGCTCCCCCCGTCACCAAAGCTGCCGACTCCACCCTGCGCATGGCCTGGGGAGCCGCGGCGAGCCCCCGGAAGGTTGGCCTTGAAGGCAACGGACGGGGTCCAAATTTTGAAGGAGCCCTGGGACACACTAATAAATACACAAATGACAGGATTCCCCTATGTTTTCCCATGTTTTCTGGGTTTTTGTCTTCCCCCCCACTTCCCATATTTTTACATATTTTCTAGGTAACCGGCGATTAATTGTTTCTGTGAGTTTCCCCCCCCCCCCCCCCCTGACAAACGACCTTCACATGCCGAACGCCCCGAGAACCAACACCTCCTCGGAACCCACGTGCTGGGCGCGGGGCCCGGCCCGCGGATGGGCGCTTCATCTTCCATCGGCACTTGACTGTCCCCGAGCCCACAGGTGCTCCTCCGCAGACAAGCAAAACTGTGACAACAGTCCGCCCCGATTCTTGATCTCAAACGTTGGGAACTCTGGGTCTCCGCGATCTGCCCCCCCCACCGTGCACAGCCGGGCGCCGCAGGGGCAAGTCGTTGTACCCCCTTCTTCGTTATGCCCTTCTTCCGCTCTCTACTGACCCCCCATTCCCATCCCAATCCCATCCGGGGCACGCGCCACCATGAATCGCGGACCATAGAATCTCACGCGTGGGCGCGGACCCACGCATCAGGGAACGCACCGCTCCGAAAAATGAGGCCGACGCTGCCGGACTTGGCGAAACAGCGCGCCGACTCTACATGACATGACGTGGGAAGCAAGATGCGCTGCTCAGCCACTACCTTTCAGCCACGCTCGGGTTGCCTGGGCCTTCATCCCCCCTCCCCTCCCCCAGCGCCACCGATTGCCACCCCTGGCCTGCCCCCCCCCCTCCTCTCCTCCTCCCCTCCCCTTCCCCCCCCCTCCCCGCGCAGGTCGTGGGCGCTTTGGGGGCCTCCTCGGGCTCGGGCGGGGTGTGCCGTCTCTGCCTCTCTCGCTCTGCGGCGAGCGGCGGGCGACTTTTGGGGGGTCGACGCGGCCTCCCCCGGCGTTTGCCCCCCTGGCCTCCCGGGGCCCGCGCTCGGCCCCCTCGCGGCGCTTCGGGCACCCTCGACGCGCTCTCGGCGAGGCGCCGCCGCTGGATGGTGTGCGGCCGCGGATCCCCCCGCCGCCCCTCGCCACTGGAGGCCTCCCAGATGGGGTCCGAACGGATGGGGTCGGAAGGTCGCGCCGCGTCGGCGATGCATCGGCATCGGCGATGCGTCGGCGACATCGGCGATGCCTCCGCGCCGCCGGCGCGGAGAAAATCGGGCTCCACATCAAGCCGCATCGGCGATGCTTCGGCGATGCATCGCCGAGAAGGCGCGATCCTCTGTCCCCATCTGCTCGGACCCCGCCTGTGAGGCCTAGATCACACCCCCACCTCCTGTCTGCCCCTTCCGCCCCCCATTTCCTCCTCCTCATCGGCATCGTTCTGCCCCGGTCGTGCCGCGAAGCGCGGTCTATGCACGACCAGGCGTTCGCCCGCACTCCACACCGGGAGCGCCGCGTCGAGCCGGCGAATCTCCCCCCCGCGCCCACCCGCCTGGCCGGCTGGCCTGCCTCGCGCTTCCCTCCCCCTCCCTTCTCCTGCTCCTGCTCCTCCACCTCCTCCTCCTCCTCCTCCTCCTCCTCCTCCTCCTCCTCCTCCTCCTCCTCCCCCTCCCCCTGCCCCTGCCCGCCCCCTTCCTCGCGCGAGCGCGGCAGGGCGCGTCTCCTCGATCTGCTTCCGCCGGTGGTAGAGCAGCGCGTCGTCGGGGCCGTCGTCCTGCACGCTGAGGGGGGGCCGCGGCGCGCCGCGGTCGGCGGAGGCCTGCGCGGGGGCTCCCGGGGTCGGCGTCGAGCCCTGTGGTTGCCCCTCGTTCGCGTTGCCTCCTATCCCACCCCCCCCTTTGCCGCCTTCCCATCATCATCATCATCATCATCATCATCATCATCAGCAGCAGCAGCAGCAGCAGCAGCATCATCAGCAGCATCATCACAACCATCATCATCATCCTCCTCATCCTCATCCTCATCCTCCTCCTCATCATCATCAGCAGCAGCATCATCAGCAGCATCATCATCATCAGCATCATCACCAGCATCATCAGCATCGCCAGCATGAGCATCAGCATCAGCGTCATCATCATCATCATCAGCATCATCATAATCAGTATCGTCTTTATCATCATCATCATCATCATCATCATCATCAGCATCACCATCATCACAATTATCATCGGCAACATCATCGGCAACATCATCGTCAACAACATCAACCTACCTCGTCCCCCTTTTCCAACATTTCCTCCTCGTCCTCCCTCCTCCAACTCATCTCATCACTGCTGCTGCGCCTCCCCCACATCATCCCTCCTGTGGCTCCTCCTCCTCCTCCTCCTTCTCTTCCTCGTCCTCCTCGTTCTCGCCCCCGTCTTCGCCTTGCTTCTCCTAGTCTTCATCTTCCTCCTCCTCCTCCTGCACCTCCACCTTGATTTGATGACGTTGTGCGGACTTCAGCAACTGGGTTGGGGCACTCCCCCTTTTTCCAGCTCCGACTTCCTTTATCCCTCCACGCCCTTCTCCTGGCGTTCCTCCCCCTCCTCGACATCACCCTCCTGGAAATCGCATATAATTCAACTTTCTGTTTACATATCATTCCGAGACCGATCGTTGCCAAATGGGGTGGGTGGGTAACGGTAACGCTTGGGCGGGGTGGTGGGGCACGTCATGGCGGGGTTTGCCCTGCGATCGCCGAAGCATGCGCGCGGACAGTAGTATATCGTTAAACCCTACTGCCCCTGGAAAGTGGCGTGGTCTGGCGAACGACCGCTACGCGACGATTGCAAACAATGTTCTGCCTCCTCGTCCTCCTCCTCCTCGTCCTCCTCCTCCTGGGCGGAAACTAGCGGCGCTGCCAGGGCTGCACGCCGAAAGTGCGTCTTGGTACGCCACTCCGTCCACGCCAGTCTCCTCCCGCCAGCCGCTGCGCGGCCTCTGCAGCGCTTCCCTCCGTGCAGCTGGCAACGCCGAATCCACAAGGGATGAGAGGGACCTGCAGCCAACCGCAGCCGTGTCCTCAAGCCATACGGCCCATCGTCGCGGCGGGAGAGGGGGCGCTGAGTTACGGGCCAACGCTTGCCCGCATGGCGCCCCAGGCAGGCTTGAGTCAAAATGGCTTGAGCCAAAATGGCGCCAGATAGTAGAGAAGAGTAGAGTACATCCGAGTAGAGTGGGCGCAGAGTGGAGCAGAAGTAGAGAAGATTCAGTCAGGGAGGGTAGTACAGAGTAGAGTCGAGTAGAGCAGAATAGCGTAGGGTATGTGGTGGAGTAGAATCGGGTGGAATCGAGTAGAGTAGAGCGGACTAGAATATACCCCAGTCCTGTCCAGTCTGCTCCAACCCAGTCCGCTTCAGTAGTCTACTCCGGACCACTTCATATGAATATGGTGATATATTGGGATTCTTCGCCGGCGGGGAACTGTACACCACCCGCACAAACAAGTCGGTCAAGAACAAGACTGTGGAGAGGGGGGTCCCTACAACACTTGCATCCCCTGGGGACACTTTTTCGCACACTCCCCCTAAAAACGAATTAATTCGGCTTCCGGTACGCGAGCG